TGGAAATTTGAACTAAAGTGTCTACAGCAGTAGGAAGTGCTTGACTGCCCTTCACTTTGGTAGCTACCCTTCTGTCCATTGACGTCATATTGCTGCGGATGGAAGACTGCAAACACACAACTACAATGGTCTAACTGATGTCTATGTACAGGATGTTGTGTACTTAGTGTTTGTCGTCCTTTGGGTCACCCCTTGCATCCACTGGCGCTGTGCTGTAAACACACAACTAGTCAACGTGAGTCCCTTGTGTACGCAACACCTGTAGGAACAGTTCATGAGCTTACGGAGTGCATCTTTACAGCATTTAATACCATCAGAGGGAAGCGTGGCATCTTTCAGAGGGTCGGACAAAACATGGTTTATTGCACATTATGTAACGAAGTTGGTGGTCGTCACATTGAACATTTACTCTAAAGTAGTGCAGCCACTGATTCGATGTACAGTTTGATTGTATTCTACTCTTTTGTCAATAAAACTTATCATAAATACTGTATTCTGCTGTTTCATTCAGCATACTGACTGCATATAACGTGCAAAGTGCTGTAGAAACTTTATATCACATTTCCGGCTATAGGTTCCTTATATCAAAACGTTCAAAATTTCATCCTCTACAATCCCCCAAATTTTTAAAACGTCATTCTGATACATCCTGTATAGTATGGAAATTAATAATATAGAATGTTTGCGTCTATTTAAATATTAATCAATAAATGATTTCATTAATCAGTCACAAATAATCACGAACCAAAATTTTGAATTTAGAATGTTTATAAACAACTAACAAATTTATTGTTTTGTCATAGATGTTTAAAATAATTTCAAATTTTATTATTATTTTTTATTTAATTATTTTGTACTTTTTTAATATTCCTGTTTCACTTTAATATTTATAAAATTTTTTAATGTAAAATTTAGAGATCAAGCTCAAAGACGAGAGGAAGATGGCGACGTTGCAGATGATCCTCGTAAATTGAAACCAGGAGAAATAGATCCAAATCCAGAGACAAAACCTGCAAGACCTGATCCTAAAGATATGGATGAAGATGGTATATTTTGAAAATTTCAATCCTAATTTATTGCATTATAAATATAGCTTTTATATTAAAGTACATAGTTGAATAAAATAACTGATCATATTAACAGCTAGAGTAAGAATAATTTTTTTCATATTATTAACTATAAAATATGTAACTTAAAACTAAAAACAAATAGTTGATTAAAGTTGGCTGATGGTGTTAAAAAATATAAAAATACATGGAAGATACAAAATGTCTACAGAAATCTGTCATTCAGTTTGTAATTACAGAATTGTCACCAGAAGACATTTTAACCAAATTGCATTTTTTGGAGTCGTAACTTTCAATACAGTAAAATGTTTTCTCTGTACATGAATGTTGTGTATGAATAGTGATTGTGAATGATGAATTTGTGAAGAGATTTTGTATCTTCCATGTATTTTTATATTTTTTAAAATGTATGTGATGGTATGAGTAATTTTTTAAAAATTTAATTCTTTGCCAGTTAACAAGAGAAAGAATATTTTAATATTGTTTCCTCTAATCTTATCTCCTTACACTCTCCTCTCACTTATCACTTTTAATAGATTATTGAATAGTGAACAGAACCATAGGTCTGCTCTGTAACTTTAGTCTGTGAGTTCTGTCTAACTTTAAGGGAATTATTGTCATTGTCTTGTTAACTATATACTTACATAAGTATATTGTTAATTTTATTCAGTAATTATCAACCATTTCATTACTAATAAACAAATCCTAAGTTTTTATCAACTTCAAGTAAAACTAAATGACCTTAGCCTACTGTTCCTCATAGATTTTGCTTGTAGTCTGTTTTATAATTCTTTAATTTCTATGTATTTTTTGCAAAGTTTTAATTACTTTCCAATAATCATAAACTGATTTTCTTGTACAGAATTGGAGATGTTGTCTGAAGCAAGAGCAAGACTGGCTAATACTCAAGGTAAGAAGGCCAAACGGAAAGCTAGAGAAAAACAATTAGAAGAAGCAAGACGTTTGGCGGCACTTCAGAAACGTAGAGAATTAAGAATGGCTGGAATCGAATTGGCTCCTCGAAAAAAGAAGAAGCGAGGCGTGGATTACAATGCAGAAATACCATTTCAGAAGAAACCAGCTCCCGGGCTCTACGATACTTCTGAAGAAGTGTACGAACCCATTGAACCAGATTATAAAAAATTAAGGCAGCAGCAATTAGATGGAGAACTTAGAAGTGAAAGAGAAGAAGTAAGTGAAATAAATATAGTAGCTAGGTTTTATAAAAGTTTTAATTTAACCTATCCAATGTTGAAATTTTTCTTTGTTGCAATATGCAACAAAGAAACCATATTGAATTTTTTTCGATGTTAAGCATAACGAAAATTACATATTTTTGAAAATAATAATCGTGACTGTTGTATCGTCTGAAATTATTTTTTTGTTATGCATAAACAAAATAAATATATTAATAAATGTAAAAACAAAAAAAAAAAATATATTTTGGAAGTTAGTTTTAGTATAAAAATTATAATGACTAATGAGATCTAGTTACAAAAACGTTCTGATGATGAAACGAGAGATCTCAGGTCAACCAGTCAAGATCAGCAGGTGACCTTGACTGGTGAAATATGTCGGGAATAATACGGAACAGGTTAATGATTGTCATAAATAAATGTCTGACGATGAATATATTCAAGTGCTAACAGAAATTAACTAGACCAGCACAATAAACTTTTATAAGCATGATTTATAAAACAAATATATCTTTATGAATACATAAACATCATTCTATTTGAGATGCAAAGTTATCAAGTTGTTTTGTTGAAACATGTTGCATAAATGCATATTCTTATCTGTATTAATTTGAGATCTTTTTTGAATATTGAGTTGATGTGAAAGTTTCTGGAATTTTGTAGAGTTTTATAGTATAATATTTCAAAAACAAAAAATAGTTTATTCCAGAAAATAACTGCCATTATATTCAAGCATCTTGTTCCTTTGATTAGGCAAGTCATGGATTCTTACTGAATAAAACTTGGGCTGTTTTGACTCAAAGAACTCTGTAAGTGCAATTTTCATCTCCTACTCATCTATAAACTGCTATCCATCCAAGAAGAGTTGCATGGAATGGAAGTAATGGTAGTTGGATAGTACAATGTCTGTGCTATATGGGGGTGAGGGAGAACTTCCAGCTGAAATTAAGCAAATTCTTTCGAGTCAATACATGTGCTCTTGTCAGAAAAGATCTTGCAGACCTTTCTAATGACAAACTAGTGGACTGGTCACAACCAAGTGTCTTGCTTACTTCTTGCATAGTCAGATATAGGTTGGCTTCCACCAGCTGTTGCTGCTTGTTATCCAATAGGACAGAAGGCCTTCAAGATCGTAGCCTATTGTGAGATCCGTGAGTTAATTAGATTAATTGATTTTATATAATGAGGGTAAATATTTTATTTGTTTAAGTGATTTCACCCGAAAGGATGTAACTTTCGTCATATTCAGAGAAAAGGGAAGTCAACTTCCTTTCTCTTGCAAGCTTATTGCTATTTGATATAGCCAGAAGTCAGTTTACCTGCTCTGCACTCATTACACATCCTGCTCGTTCTTTAGACGCTATTGGGCAGAGGTCCCAATAAAAAGGGAATTTTTCCGGCACTCAAGGCATTTCTCCATAAGAAGTAATTGTCACATAACCAAGGCAGTCCATATCAATTTGGAAAGTGCCGTAGAAGGCAGTTCTCTACAATTCAGAGAGGCCATAAGAAGGCAGGCTTCCACAGTTCTAGATGCCATATAACCCTAGGCATCCTCCCATAATATTGAAGGTGCTTATAGATGTTCAACCATAATTTATACTGTGCATATAGAAGATTGATTCTCTCGGTCCATATCATCCCTCTCCCATGCTCCTCATAGAAGACTACGACTATGAATACTATATAAGTCAAGGTAGTATATATATTGTTAATTGTAAGCTATCTCTCTCAGGTATAGCATTCACACAAGGCATAGAAATATAGGTATAGTTAGATATAAGCTCATTTAACTCCATTGTACTTCCAGTGTTATCGTATGTCATTTTAGAGATGTATATAGTATAATTCGTTTATTCATTAAATCATATTTGTTATGTTGTTTATTTGACTTCTGTCATTTATTGAGCTCGGACTATTTGTCACTCACGCAATGCTCCACTTGTAGAAATAGTCCTCCTAGTAATTATCTTTTATATACACAAGTTAAACTGTGATTAAAATAGTTTAACTGGTGTCAGTCATGACAGGATCTCAATTTTTCTGAATCATGATCAACATAAACTCAAAAAAGCCATCCTTCGACTCTGAGGGCTAGTCTTACCGATTGCGCCTTTGATTAAGTGGTAGAGAGACTAACCCAGACTCTCTAACCATGGCTAGCCCTTCACACTATCTTCAACTTCATATTACCCAACTTTAAATTTATCGAGTCATAGATTGTAGACTTAGAGATGAAATTTTCATCAAATTATTGCACTATACAGCAATAAGATTTGGCTTTTTTTACACCAAATTGATAATTGTAAAGTGCATATATATGAATTGGTCGCAAGAAAGAATTGGCAAATTTGATATTTAAAAAGTTGGTATTGCCACACACACAATATCTTTTCACTTATATTAGTGCACCTCAACACCCTTCATTTAGGTACTTTACAAGAAACTTCTAGATGCCATCTGTCAGAGAACAATTTTGAACATTCTAGAGAAGTTTAGTAAATTCCAGAAACTTGTATCAATTCAACAATTTACCGAATTCTTCATAGTAAGTGCTGTATGAAGTAAAAAATAATTAAATTTCTCTATATATTTCATTTTCATGTATAATCTTTCGAGTAGCTAAAATAATATATGTTTTCTTATTTACTAGAAATCAAGTTTTATTAATCTATTCGATGTTAAAATTTTTATTTGTTGCCTGTGATGCCATGTTGAATTTTTGTTGATGTTAAGCCTAAAAATTTTTTTTTAAAATAATAATCATGTTTACTGTATCTTAAAAAGTTAGTTTTTTATGTTTCACAAACAAACTAAATATATTGAATAATATAGAAACAAAAAAATTATATTTTAAAAGTTACATCTAGTATCAAAAACGTTACGATGTAAACATGAAAATATTTCGGATTGTCCACGCAGGTCAAGGAGGTCAACACGAATATTTTTGGGAACAACGGACAGGTTAAAGCAATGATCAGCTAGATGTACTTTTGAAGCTACACTTATTCTAGTCAGCATTGGCATGAATCAGAGACAATAATAGAATTAATAGGCATGTGCAATTTTAAAGTAAAAGATTCATAGTTTTATTGACAACACAAAAATGAGATTTTTTAGTGAGAAAGATGTCTATGTATTTCTTTTTATATATTTCTATGTATTAAAGTGAAACAAACGAAAAAATGAAAATAGATGATATGGCAATATAATTGAGTTTAACAACATACTATACAACAAAGAATTGCATATTAATTATTGAAAATTATCAATTTATAAATTTAAAAAATTTATAAATGTATAACGAAAATTCAAGTTCAAAAATTTATAAATGCCTTATAAATTTAAAAAATTTATAAATGTATAAGGCATTTATAAATTTTTGAACTTGATAACACCATAAGATACTTTTCAATTAATAATTAAAGTACCTTTGATAATTCTACATTATCATTTTTATGTGTGGAAAAATGACATTATTCCACATGCTTGAGGATGATAATAGTATTACCAAAAGTATTTGAGAAAATTATCTTTTTTCACTTTGATTTTAAGCCATTCCTTGTAAATTTTTTGAACTTGAAATAGGAAAGTTTTCAATAATAAATAGAACTTAATGTAGCATTGTGATTTTAAGATATCCATGATTGCATTATTTCTTGGTTGCTTTCAGTTAAATTAGACTTCTTATTTTGTGGATATCAATCAGGCATAGTCTAATGTCTTTCTAAAGTAATATTTTTGCCATTTTTTTAAAATGTATGTTGATTTTTTTTATAGCGTTGTCACTTCAAATTTTGAATGATCAGGCATTTTGCATGAACTGTGTTTCTGGCATTTAAAAGTTATATGTGATTTACAAGCTGCATATGGCTTTTGTAGTGTGTTATTAGAAAATAATTTTAAAGTTTAAATTTACTTTAGATTCACTAACTTCCTTGTTATTTACTCTTATGAGATCTAATTATATCATTGGTCTTACACTAATGAAATGTGAGAAATTTTGAAACTATAAAAACAAAGATAGTTGACCAAGCTTAAAAATGTCTAAAAGAAACAAAAGCTACTTCAATGGATCTATTAAAGCAACTTTTGTTTTATTAAGAAGAATATGTACCAAAATAAATATCGAAATGAATGCAAATAATTTTTCAAATGAATCTCAAACTGCTTTGTTTTTGTTATCATTGTCTGAATAAGGAGGCATTGTTTTTAAATTAACTGCTTGTTAACAAAACTGTACATGTTACGTGAGTAGTGATGCATAATCTGAAATCTTATTAACTGAACTTGGCAGTTTAGTTTAAAAGAGAGTCTGCTGTACACTAGTATACATTGAGTGTCTTCCATAAACAGTTTTATTCTATATTTATTTAAACAGTTTGCATTTTTAACACTTTCATCAGAAATTTAAACTGTAATCAAACTTTATAAATTTATAAAAGGTCAAAATACTTTTTTTCCTATTATATTTTAAATTTTGAAGTTTTGTTATGATTCATAAAAACTCAACATTTCATAACATTGCAAGGACCAATAAATCTGATGCGTATTTTATAATAGGTAACTTTTTAAAATTTATTATGTAATTTACAACAAATTAATATAACTTTTCAAAGATTTGAATTGCTGAAAATTTAAAAATTACTATTACATTGTTATTACATTTTTCTAAGATATGGAATAAAAAGTGTGTACTTTCATTGTTGCTGTTATAAAAGTGCTCTAAATGCTTGCATTCCTTCCTGGCTCAGAGTATTATGCAATGGTTTGAATCTGACATGTAACAGTTGAGAATTGATTTTACAGTTTGTAAGAAGTATTTATTAAAGTTAACCATGTTGTTTCTCTTTTAATGAAAAACTTATAATTTTGTTATTGATTGCAATTTTAAAATTTTGATAGACAGTACAGTCTTTTATTTCTTTTCAGTTATTATGTGATCAGATGAATCTCTGATCACATATAGTAATTCTCTGATTTCAATAGATTAATTAAGTAATTAATTATAAATAGCTTAAAAGTATTGCATATTAATAAGAAGTTTTATGGAATTATAAGTATAAAAATTATTAAATAAATTTATTTAATTTTAGAAAGAGAGAAAGAAAGATAAACAGAAGCTTAAACAAAGAAAAGAGAATGATATGCCTACAGCAATGTTATCTGGTAATGTAGAACCATCTAGAAAAAGAAGTAAATTGGTTTTACCTACACCTCAGATATCTGATGCTGAGTTGGAACAGGTTTGTTACTCATTTTTTAATATTTATTAAATTCACACAATAATCTTATTTAATAATCAGTAATTTGCATTACATATTTAATTGGTTGAGTTGAGTTTTGGAGTGTAATGTCTTTACTGAATTTGTTGAAAATATGAAAATACAAATTATTAAATAGGATTTCTTATTTTTAAAATGATGTCGTGTAACGGGATTGCTTTAAATTATTTTATGTTGTTACTTTAGGTGGTAAAATTAGGTAAAGCTAGTGAAAATACCCGAGAAGTTGTGGAAGAAACTGGTAATAAAGCTTCAAATGCATTGTTAGCAGATTATAACTTAACTCCCAGCACGGCCAATATCAGGACTCCTCGGACGCCTCTTAGTAGTCGTGATACTATTTTAATGGTAAATTTTTTATTGAGAGTTACATAATGCACTCTATAAATTTTTTAGTATATTAATATTTACATGAATTTAATTTAAGTCAATCACTTTTGTTAATTTTGTTATTTAACTTGAATATTATATAGGAAGCTCAAAATATTATGGCTCTAACAAATGTAGATACTCCATTAAAAGGAGAATTAAATACACCCCTGCATGATTCCGATTTTAGCAGTGTCACACCTAAGAGAGATACAATTCAGACTCCAAATAATTTGATTACTACGCCATTTCGAACTCCTTCACAAAGCTCAATATCTGACGGTATTACTCCAGGACAGGATAAATCATTTGGTTCTACTACAGCTAATAGAAATCAACTGCCTGGTTCTACCCCTTTGCGTGATAAGTTAAATATTAATCCAGAAGAAAATCTAAATTTTGATGAAGTTCANTCAGTTAACGAACAATTTGGATAGCAAACAAAGGTTTGGAATGGATTGTGTTCATTAACCGATCACCCACTGTATATAATATGAAAAATATTTGTGATTATTTATTGATAATGAATTGAAATAATCACTGTTTATATTTACAGGATGAAATCTTGAAGGCTGCCGTTATGAAATATGGAAAAAATCAGTGGTCTCGTATAGCCTCTCTCTTGCATCGAAAATCTGCCATACAGTGCAAAGCGAGATGGTAATTAAGAAATTTAAATTAATTAAATTAATAATTGTAATTATATCTGTCTTTAAATTTATGTTATAGTGCAAACAATTACATGACAGAGATTAAGCAGCAGCATTAACAAATGTTACAGATAAACTTTTGGATATTATAAGCTTAAATAAATAAAATAGAACTGTTGTATGTTGTAAAGTTAGTTTTTGTTGTTTGTATATGTATATTGTTGTCTCTAGGAGCAAATTATTAAGGAACAAATAAGAATTGCCAAATTTAAAACAATTTATAAGTGAGTTAATGATCAATTTATTAATTTAGAAGCTGTACTAAATATTTTATTAAATATATTTGGAATCTTTACATTTAAAAGTTGGCATATGATGACTTTTAAGTGTCAGGATTTCTGTTGATGGAAGCAACTCTGTTTTCCTTGATTAATATCTCCTTAGTAAAAGTTTTAGAGGTTTATGAAGGAATATCTAAGAACTTCATAAATAACGAGTACTGCAAATCAGTATTTATAAACTCTTCTTGTTTAATAATTGAAATTCTTATGAAGAATTTAGAATATAAAATTAGCTTTCATTAGTTTAAAAATAAAATAATATCAAAAGCATTAAAAATTAATTGGGTTTTCTGTTAACTGTGTATTTCTTCCATGCTAGACTGATCATTTATTGTTTTATCTATAATATTCAAAACTGCTCATTGGAATATTCCAATATCACAATATTAATACAACAGAATTATGATTTTATGTAAAATTAATCATTGGAAAATAAGGAAAAACTTGAAAAGAGGATGTTTATGTCATAGGACAACATGATAAAGTTTAATAATTGATTGGAGTGATTGCAGCTAAAATTGTAGTGCATCTAATTCAGAAAAAATAATATAATTTGAAAATATTTTATGAGTAATGCTACATAAAAGACATTAAAACAGGAGTGATGTTGCTGATTTTTCCATAAATAAAATTGCTGTACATTTGAATAATGTATTCCATTTTCTATTACATATTGTTGGTGAAATTTATAATATACATGTCATTAAATTATACAATAATACATTTTTTAAACTCGTTACTAGGCATGAATGGTTGGATCCGAGCATTAAAAAAACTGAATGGACAGGGGAAGAAGAAGAAAAATTACTGCATTTGGCTAAATTAATGCCTAACTAATGGAGGACTATTGCACCAATTATTGGTAGAACTGCAGCTCAGTGCTTGGAACATTATGAATATTTATTGTAAGTTTTATTTATTTTTATTATATTTTAATAAAAAATTATAGAAAAGTTTTAAATTTTTTAAGAAGCTTGAGAAGATAAGTATTGATATTTCCTCTTCATTTTAAAATTATACAGGGTGTATCAGAATAACGTTTNTTGCCATTTTGCAATTCATGATTAATAAAAATAATAAAATTTTACTTACAATAAAATTAAAATCAGAAGAAATTTAACAAAATTATAAACTGTGGCACCGAGAACATCTACTCTGGTCTAATACACCGATAGTGCTACTTATTCATAGATGGCGCCTATATTTGAATTAAGTCGTATACCGAAGAAAAGTCGTATACCGAGCAAAATTTGTTTCGTCCAAACAGGACGTATTCCGAATTGGACGTATTCTAAAGCAGACGTATACCGAGGTACCACTGTACTTAATTTTCAGACAGAATTTTTTTGATCTACTACTAAGATTGTCGTTGAGTCTTTACTGTTAAAAAATTGGAATTTAAGTTTACTGTTTGATTTTCTTGAAGTTTCTTGTCCTTTAATTATTGTATTTCTTAAATTGTATAATTTGATAAATTAAGGATTTATTGCACAGATTTGTATTTTATGGAGATGGACGACTTAAGTTTTTTAAATAGTCATTATGTAGAATGCATTTTGGGCCTTAGACCCGTCTTTGGCTGCAGAACTGTAAGAACTGGAACCGGTGCTATCGTATAGAATAGTCTGCAGCTGAAGAGGAGTCTTTGGTCTAAAATGTCTATTTAAAGAAGTTAAGTTGTCTGCTTCATAAAATATGTTCGTATGTGATAAGCCCTTAATTTATCAAACTTAGTCTTTGCATGAAAATTAAGGATATTAAAATTCTTTCCTAAGTAAAGTATATATTTTTTATTTTTTGGGTCTCCAGAATGAATTAATCAAATTCCCATACAAACCTATGGTAAATTGATAATCGGTTAACGAACAATTCGGATAGCAAACAAAGGTTTGGAACGGATTATGTTCATTAACCGATTACCCACTGTATATAATATGAAAAATATTTGTGATTATTTATTGATAATGATTTGAAATAATCACTATTTATATTTACAGGATGAAATCTTGAAGGCTGNGGCTACTTGGCCATCAAGTTTACAAACATTCCTTTAAAAAACACAGAAAAATATCTAATTAAAATTATAAATTTCAACTTAGAGTTCATGGGTCTTACAGCCATCTTCATGTGTAACTGCATCTTTCACCACCACGGGGTGCAATAGTCTGTAACGCAAGCCCAACGACTACGATAAGACGAAGACGAAGCCCAATGACTACGATAAGACAAGACAAGAAAAGTTTTATATTTTTTATTAATATTAATCATGCCTAGGATTATGATAAAAGTGAGCATATGGAGGAATACGGAGGATGAAATCTTGAAGGCTGCCGTTATGAAATATGGAAAAAATCAGTGGTCTCATATAGCCTCTCTCTTGCATCGAAAATCTGCCAAACAGTGCAAAGCGAGATGGTACAAATGGTTGGATCCGAGCATTAAAAAAACTGAATGGACAAGGGAAGAAGAAGAAAAATTACTGCATTTGGCTAAATTAATGCCTACCCAATGGAGGACTATTGCACCAATTATTGGTAGAACTGCAGCTCAGTGCTTGGAACATTACGAATATTTATTAGATCAAGATCAAAGACGAGAGGAAGACAGCGACGTTGCGGATGATCCTCGTAAATTGAAACCAGGAGAAATAGATCCAAATCCAGAGACAAAACCTGCAAGACCTGATCCTAAAGATATGGATGAAGATGAATTGGAGATGTTGTCTGAAGCAAGAGCAAGACTGGCTAATACTCAAGATAAGAAGGCCAAACGGAAAGCTAGAGAAAAACAATTAGAAGAAGTGAGACGTTTGGTGGCACTTCAGAAACGTAGAGAATGGCTGGAATTGAACTGGCTCCTCAAGAAAAGAAGAAATGAGGCATGGATTACAATGCAGAAATACCATTTCAGAAGAAACCCGCTCCCGGACTCTACGATACTTTTGAAGAAGTGTATGAACCCATTGAACCAGATTATAAAAATTTAAGTCAACAGCAATTAGATGGCGAACTTAGAAGTGAAAGAAGAAAAAGAGAGAAAGAAAGATAAACAGAAGCTTAAACAAAGAAAAGAGAATGATATGCCTACAGCAATGTTATCTGAATGTTAATGTAGAATCATCTAAAAAAAAAGAAGTAAATTGGTTTTACCTACACCTCGGATATCTGATGCTGAGTTGGAACAGGTGGTAAAATTAGGTAAAGCTAGTGAAAATACCCGAGAAGTTGTGGAAGAAACCGGTAATAAAGCTTCAAATGCATTGTTAGCAGATTATAACTTAACTCCCAGCACGGCCAACATCGGGACTCCTCGGACGCCTCTTAGTAGTCGTGATACTATTTTAATTAATGGAAGCTCAAAATATTATGGCTCTAACAAATGTAGATACTCCATTAAAAGGAGAATTAAATACACCCCTGCATGATTCTGATTTTAGCAGTGTCACACCTAAGAGAGATACAATTCAGACTCCAAATAATTTGATTACTAAGCCATTTCGAACTCCTTCACAAAGCTCAATATCTGACGGTATTACTCCAGGACAGGATAAATCATTTGGTTCTACTACAGCTAATAGAAATCAACTGCCTGGTTCTACCCCTTTGCGTGATAAGTTAAATATTAATCCAGAAGAAAATCTAAATTTTGATGAAGTTCAGAATGCAAAAAATGCAATGCGAGAAAGCAAGATGGCTGTACGAGAAGCTTTATCGTTGCTTCCAGTTCTTAGAAATGACTTTCAGAAGAAGAACCTGCCACATGGGAGGAAGAAACAATACTAGACACTTTAGATGATCAAGCAGACATAGATGCAAAATTAGAAGCTGAAAGAGAAGCTCAGTTGGCATTAGAAAGAAAAAGGCAATCGCAGGCAGTACAGAGGAGTCTTACGAGACTGCTCAACTTAAATACAACCATTTTGAGACCATTAAATTCCGATCTGCCGCTGACTGAACTACAAAAGGCAGAAGAACTTATCAAACAAGAAATGATCGTCATGTTACAACACGATGCCGTTCATCATGCAACGGAACAACAACTGGGATTACAACAAACAAAAAAAGGAAAACAACCTCACTTGATGGTCGTAAATCAAGCACAACATTTGGCTTATTTAGAAAAACACCCTTACGAGAAATTTCATGATTATGACATTGAAATGGCCAAGGAGAAATTATTAGAAGAAATGGAATTTGTGAAGAAAGGCATGGGCCACGGTGAACTGAGTCTCGAAGCTTTCAGTCAAGTTTGGGAAGAATGTTTGGCACAAGTGTTATTTCTTCCTTCTCAGAACAGATATACGAGAGCTAATTTAATGAGCAAAAAGGATCATATAGAGTCTCTGGAGAAAAGATTAGAGCAAAATCGAGGTCACATGACAAAAGAAGCTAAGAAAGCTGCCAAAGTAGAGAAAAAACTTCGAATTCTCACCGGAGGTTATCAGTCGAGAGGACAAGCATTGANCAAAAAGGATCATATAGAGTCTCTGGAGAAAAGATTAGAGCAAAATCGAGGTCACATGACAAAAGAAGCTAAGAAAGCTGCCAAAGTAGAGAAAAAACTTCGAATTCTCACCGGAGGTTATCAGTCGAGAGGACAAGCATTGATAAAACAACTGCAGGACCTGGCAGAACAGGTGGAACAGACTCATCTCGAACTAAAAACTTTCGAGACTGCGGGACCACGAAGGATTTGCCATTCCCAAAAGAGTAGAGTCGTTGACCGAAGATGTGAACAGACAGACAGACTGAGAGAGAATGTTGCAAAAAAGATACAAGAACCTTCTTCAAAAGAGAGAAGAACTGCAGCGCTCTTCCAAAGGGAACTTGAAGTAAAACGCTTAACAGAACAGACAATTCTTTCCAGGAAGCTCTTTGCGTAGAGATGTGGACTTATTTTAATAGATGCGTAAACAAATCATTTGTTTATTAAAAGCCTTTCTTGGATTCTCGTTTAGTTCAGGTATACGTTTACTGTAAATTTACTTTNGAAGGTATTACTCCAGGACAGGATAAATCATTTGGTTCTACTACAGCTAATAGAAATCAACTGCCTGGTTCTACCCCTTTGCGTGATAAGTTAAATATTAATCCAGAAGAAAATCTAAATTTTGATGAAGTTCAAAATGCAAAAAATGCAATGGTTAGTATTTTAAATTCATTATAAATAAACTACTGTGTTTTCTCTGTTCTAATGTGCCATCAAATCTAATGCGCACACAATTTTTGAGACATGAAAACTCAAGGGAAAGTTAGCTTGCAAATTTAATGTGTGCACTAAAAAATGCAGCCACAAAAAGTTAATGTATTCAATATTATAATAGTTATAAACGCATTTTTGAAAATCATTTTGTTTTCACATTATTTTTATGTGTACATCAACGCTTTTCAATGTCTACATTTTAAAATATATTAATTTTTTTAATCCATTATTAGGTACAGAGGAACTTTGGATCAATACAGAAACACAGTCAAAATTACATAAATCATTGTTTTAACAGCAAGATTTTATGTCTGTATGAACAAGCACAAAATCTATCAGATACCCAATATCACACTGAAAAATGTATATATATTCTTCAGCATACTGGATAACATTCTGCTTAAACACAGCTTTCTCAGAGATTTGTCTGCTGGACATCATTCACTTGGCTTTCTATAGTTTAAAAGACCACAAACCATTCCAAAACAAAAGTAGTAGGTGGGATATGTACTGTGTTTATACTGACTGACATCATAATATGGACAAATTACCAAGCAGAGTGAATAGCAAGTGATATGAACAAGAGTAGAGTGTGCTTTAAATGATTCTGTGCCTGATTCTAATATATTGATATACAATATCTATTTATAAATGTGATCATTGTTATCCTCATTGTTATTCAGAATATTTTATTTTATAATGAAATTTTATTTCTAGCGAGAAAGCAAGGTGGCTCTACGAGAAGCTTTATCGTTGCTTCCAGTTCCTAGAAATGACTACGAGATAGTTCTTCCAGAAGAAGAACCTGCCACGTGGGAGGAAGAAACCATACCGGATACTTTAGATGATCAAGCGGACATAGATGCAAAATTAGAAGCTGAAAGAGAAGCTCAGTGTAATTAACCTAATTGATATTGAAATTTTTTCTTTTGCATGTCATGCCGTATTGAATTTTTGTCAATGTGACGCCTAATGAAAATGACCCGTTTTTGAAAAAAAAATCGTGGCTATTATATCATCCAAAATTGTTTTTATTATTTTGCATAAACAAAATAAATATATTAATAAATGTAAAAACAAAAAAAAATTATATGTCAGAAGTTAGTTTTAATATAAAAATTATAATGACTAGCGACATCTAGTTTCAAAAATGTTCTGATGCTGAAACGAGATATCTCGGGTCATCTGGTCAAGGTCAGCAGGTCGCAACCTGAGATATGTCGGGAATAACATGGGACAGGTTAAATAATGTATAATTGAAATTGGATAATTTTAAAATTTTATTTTTCAAACTCTTTTAGAGAAGCACATAATATTACATATATCTAACTACTGAACTATCGCTGACTAAAACTATCGTACAAGTTTTAAATCTTTTTTGATTGATTTTATATCAATTGATTTATTCATAATTGCATTTAGCATTTTTTTTTTTTTTGTCAAATTGAAATTAAATTTGACAAATAAATATTTTATATATTTGGCAACATTGTGATCAAAGTACATTTTGTTGTATGGTAAAATCTTTATCTACTTCATGAGTGATTCAGATTTAAGTCCACTTTGTATCCTTACATCTTCTGTTACGTAATTCTAATTAGAATATTTCTTGGTTTCATTTACGATTGCGATATCATTCAGATTAGACTTGCTTGTAATGAAAATAATTATGATAATTTACATAGTTCAAATAAAATAAGAAGTGTCAAAGAATATAGAGTTAATTTAGAATCAAAACAGCTAACATTGATTTTAAACTTAACTTGTGATTTAAAGTCTTAAGTCTTTAAATCACAAGTCTTTAAATCTTAAGTATTGTTATGATGATATATATTAAACTATGACTAATTTCTCAGTTATATTAAATGGGATGTCCAAATGTGGACAGAGAAAAACAGATATCTCAATATAATTTAGATTTTTTTTTCATACTTAAAAGATTTTATTTTTAGTGGCATTAGAAAGAAAAAGGCAATCGCAGGCAGTACAGAGGAGTCTTCCGAGACCGCTCGACATAAATACAACCATTTTGAGACCATTAAATTCCGATCCGCCGCTGACCGAACTACAAAAGGCAGAAGAACTTATCAAACAAGAAATGATTGTCATGTTACATCACGATGCCGTTCATCATGCAACGGAACAACAACTGGGATTACAACAAACAAAAAAAGGAAAACAACCTCACTCAATGGTCGTAAATCAAGCACAACATTTGGCTTATTTAGAAAAACATCCTTACGAGAAATTTCATGATTATGACATTGAAATGGTACGGCTTTAATCTGATATTATTTCCTACTCTTGTAGAAAAAATTATTTATTATATATTATTAATGCATATTCAATATTGTTAAAATGGAATTTCATTAATTAAAACATTTTATTTTCATATTTTATGAAACAAGTAGTAATAGAATATATTTAATCATATTTCAATGTTAATTGAGACAAAAAAAAGAGTATTTAGAAAATATTTAGGAAAAGATAAAAAATAACTAGTGAATTCACAGACTTGAATCTTGCATAGGTTCATAATTGTGAAAATTATCAATGAACTAATAGCTTAATTTTCTATAAAAGTCTTTACTGTACAGATAAATATAAAGAACATTATAGCTTGATAAACATTCAATAGAATAGTCTGGCATAGCAATGAAACAATGTTTTATATATTTTTTGTTTGATGATAATTTTTTCTTCTATTTTGTGTCATATTTTATTGCTTATTGCAACAAATGTAAATATATTAATACCAGTTTCTATAGGCATAGTTATTGACAAAACAGTTTAATAAACATACATTCAAATTTTTAAACACCAATTATCAACATAATAATAAGTCCTTTTGTAATGAAAAGAAATATAATTTCCAGTCCCATTAGCTATGTATTAGCTTAAACTAAAACTTCTCTCAATTGAACAAAATCCTCTACTGTGGTAAATCTTGATATAATTTTTTACTGTTTAATTAATATAATTTGCAAAATACAAGTATTTTCTTTTCTCTACAATGATAATCATGCACTAAATTAAATTTTAATTAATAATTTATTGATTGCTTTTTGAATCAAAATGTATTCTAATATGGTGATTCTACAACAAATGGTCCTGCAATCAGTAGGCATTGTACAGAAATCATAGGAAGATAAGTTTAGATTTTGACATTTAACATAACATATACACAGAAATAATATGCATTAAAATCACTTAAATCTTGTACTAGAGGAGACTAATAATGTAATGTTTTTTTTTTTCTTTCTTTTCTGACATTATCTAACTTTGTAGAAATAACCCTATTTGTAATCTGACAACATTAAATGAGAAAGGAAATACTGTTTTAAAAACTCATGCTGTAACAAGAAATCTCTCTATAACAATGTTCTTTCTTATTCTGCTTAATTAATATCATTATAAAGAGATTTGATGTATATATTCCTCACATGTATACAAATCCCTCATATATATATATATATTGTAGTGTTCAAACCTTGTCATGATAGGAGCCATATACCAAATATAGATTTTTATATATTAAATTATTATACAGTAGAACCTCGAAAACTCGGCTCTCGATAACCCGGCACTCCGGATAACTCGGCCACACCCTGGCAGGGCAAAAAAATCCTTAGTTAATTAATTTTCATTATAGACAGCTTTATAAAAGTATAAAAGCTCTCATAAAGTAATTTTCTGAGGTTTGTCTTATCAGGTAAATTACTGTACACAGTGTATTCATTAATTTTCATTTTCATGTAGTAAAGGCTCTATGCCTTCATAAAGGACATACTTTTCCTTTGTTTAAGGGTATTTGGGTAGTTTATTCTCTGTTATATTCTCAACTAAACAATACATAAAAGTACAGTACAGTACTTTCTGAGGAAACACTCGTACTTATTTTTTTTAACCCCATTCCCGCTAACCCGGCATTTTCACAAACTCGGTCACCCTTCGGTCCACATTAGGCCGAGTTTTCGAGGTTCTACTGTATTGGTTTAATTAATTTGGCAATATATTATATATTGCCAAATTATATTTGGCTATATTACTACTATGATTATTAATTAAATGCTAAGTAATTTGGCACTAGAGGCAGGTATTAGGAGCCATTTCTTGTTAAATATAATGTTTAAAATTAAATTAATATTTTAATAATTAATTTAGAAAGTTATGGAAGAAAAGAAGCAGCCTGAAGTTGGAGTAATGGAGTATAGTTATATCAAAATTAATAAGTTCTGGAAATGAGGATTGGATGAAGGTTTTAGATGGTGCCTAACACCTGCCTCTGGTGCCAATTTACTTATCTTTTAATTAATAATAATAGTAATATAGCCTGAAGTAATTCAACAATCATTTGGCTTGAGTCATATATCACGAGTGACCTTTTTCCTCATCCTGTACACTAAATGCTCAATATCCAATATTTAAGAGCGATAATTTGTTATATATTTATAATTCTATAAAAATGCTTAGGAATTAACATAAAATTTTAAAGTCATTTTTAAACTTTATGATAAGATTTTAATTATTTAATGTTTTTATTTTATTTATTATTAAAAATAAAAATTTTTAGTTTTAATTAATTTAAGAACAGTTTATTTTCCAAATTATTTATATAACCTCAACATTTTGATGCTTGAATATACTAATTGCTCAAATGTGCTTTTAATACTGTCCCTTTAGCAATAAATATATGCATATGCCATTTGTGATTTTTTATGAATGGTAAGAAACTAGACTCATTTTCATTTGAAACAAAACTCATTTAATAAATAAAATATTCTACTTTAGCTATGGTTTATAAAAAAAATTGGCTCAATCATTATAACAGGCATTGCCATACATGCCCGAAAGCATTACTCCTCTGAAAAATCAGAGATAATAAATGTACATGCACCTAGCATTCGCATACAATTACCACTTCCTGGGTTCTCCTCTTGCAGTGTACTGTCAGTAACATGCCCAGACATTGATGGGACATAGGCAAGGCAAAGATCTTTTGGAGTGTTCGGCCACACTTCCTGAAGAATCATCTTCAGCTGATCTTTTGTTTGGGGATTGCTTTTCACACCACTTTCTTGAGGACACACAAAAGGACATCATATAGAAACGAATCACCACTGTCAGAATACCTAAACACCCCCACTCTTAAACTGTGCTTTGAAACTTCCTGCTTCACACAGTTTTGGGTAAGTCCTTCATTTGGTCAGTGGATGATTCTGTTTGATTTGACATTTTCATACAGAACTGGAAAGGGTGACTCATCAGAGTAAATCACTCTTCTCCATTGAGCTTCCGTCCAAGAAGGTGGTCTCTAGGCCATGCAAACCTCCCTTTCACTGAACTGGCATTGACATAGGCTTTTGCTTACTGTTGTATGAGCTGTTACCCATGTTACAATAACCTGTTGCTAGCAGTTTGTCAAGATACAAGTAGGCCTATTAGTGTGCACCACAGTTCTGTAGCTTTCATAAATGTACCACGTCAGTATTTCACGAGAAGCCAATGCAAAATTTGATCTTTCCTGAAGTAGTAATTGTGAATTTGCCATTACTGCACCAGGAGTGATAGAACTGGTTTCTTCATAGTATCTTACAAAAGTTCTGACAGTAGACTCATTCAAACAGAATTCCTGAGCAATCTACCATATAGCTATTCCATTTTGTCATTTCTGAAGAATCTTATAAAGTACTTGAATCCCAGCCTGTCTTGCAATTTTTTGTGTTTTGAGCAATTCAGAGACTACACAGGATTTTATAATTTTTTTTATTTTTGTATTGCTTACTGAGCCTTACAAAAAATTTGCACATACGGTCGAGCAAAATCTACCAAATGTTGGGTGATGTAAATTTATTGCCTTTGATTTTTCAAAGGAGATTCCTGTTACAGTGATTGAGCCAACATTTCTGTAAACCATAGCTCAAGTAGAGTACTTTATTTACTAAATGAATTTTGTTTCGAATGCAAATGAGTTCAGTTTTCTTACTGTTTATAACAACCACAAATGGGGTGTACATATATTTATTGTCATGGCAAAGGTACAGTAGAAAGGTAAAAAATTCCAATTAATTTTAATAATGCAAAATAATTTTTAAGGCTTCATTAAAGCTGATTTGAAGAAAATCTTTCATTTATGCAAACAATTACATCTTCAGAGTATATAAAAAAACAATATAATGATAGTTCAAAATTTAAAATATATTTTTTTAGGCCAGGGAGAAATTATTAGAAGAAATGGAATTTGTGAAGAAAGGCATGGGCCACGGTGAACTGAGTCTCGAAGCTTACAGTCAAGTTTGGGAAGAATGTTTGGCACAAGTGTTATTTCTTCCTTCTCAGAACAGATATACAAGAGCTAATTTAGCAAGCAAAAAGGATCGTATAGAGTCTCTGGAGAAAAGATTAGAGGTAATTATTTGAAATTATTTTTCTTATGAAAGCTTTTATATACAAATATAAACAATGATTAACCCAATTATTTGATAAATGCCAAATGAACTGCCAGATTGATTATATTGGGCTCAGATATGGCTACTACTACATAGTTATTTTTTTGGCTATAACTTCTAAAAACTTGAAATTCTCCACAAATTCTAAAGTAGATAAATCATCCATCATTGAGAATTGTATGTACTCAATGTCATTGGGACTATTAGTAAATACTGTCTATTAATATATGTTTTTAAAATGCATTTGCAGATCATATGCTAGTCTAAAAATTTTGTGAGTTATGATGACTCATTAAGTTGACTCACATTTACAAACCTAAGAAATTCACGAGTCACATCAGTCAGTTTCAAAAAATGCACTTATTTTGTACAATATTACAAGTTGAAATATATTGTAGATATTACAACTGTTAAGAAATCCAGCACTGGTACATACTTACAAATAAGACTTGGGGTGGCCAAGTTCTTTCATTGTCCTACGCCCAAAAATATCTTTTGTGCCCATTGTGCACTAAATTTTGGGAAATTTTTGACTAAATTCTCATATTTATATGTTAATTTTTGCAATTTTAGTTATTTTTTTTTTTTTTTTTTTTGGAAAGGAT